TGAACAGAAATAAATATTACACTTACTTTGCCACAGAATACACATGTGTACTTTGAGTGCTGTGTGATTTCCATCTTTTTAACCATTTTTCGAAGTGAGGCACCATATCGAGTACCATACTTCCCTACTACTCCGACCTTCTTGGTTCTTTTCGCCTGCGAATAGACGAGGCAAAAAAGACAAAGTTTGACAAAAATACAAAGAAATGAACCCAAAGCCTAATTCAAGAATAACAAAGCTATAATAAAAATTTAGTATTTCATCTCGATGGCCATGTTTTCAAAGAATAAACGACGGATTTCTACTCACCATTTTGGACGGTTTCACAGAGTTAAGAGAACAGGAGAAAGAGAACCATACGGGTTCTTCGATTTTTTTTCATACCAACGCCTGCGATTATCAGCAGCGGTATGACGTATACGTCACTTACAACCACATGAAAATATTGTGGCGCGAGGTACAAATTTGGCGCGGAAATGCTTGAACGAATTATGCTCAAATTTTCAACAAAATGAGCAAGAAATCCGAAGAGGAAGGTAAATATAAAGGAAATGAATAATTCTACTGTTAGTTGTAGATCAAATTCATTTCAATATCTGAATTTTACTCTCTTTGCAGCATCAGATGCAGTGTTAGCGTATCTCACAAAACAAAACAGACCCTACAGCGCCGGTTGGTAAAATTATTTGCTTCAAAGTTTGTTTACAAGCTTCTGCTTTTTGAGACTATAAGCTTAAAGTTATTCAGTTAAATGTAGATTTCAAGACCTTTCGTCATATCCAGTTGCTTCTAAAAAAGACAGACTTTCCTGTCCTTTACTTTTGCTGCACAACGTATCTTATCCTCTTCGAATTCCATAGTTGTTGACTCTTTACTTGAAGCCTTTACTATGACATCACTTTGACTTACAAGAATTTCTTTTCTTTTGTGTCAGTTGATATCTTCTCAAATCTGCACAAAGAGTACGGGAAAACGGTGAGAATTTGAATGATAATAACAAAGCTAATCTGCCATTCATGAGTTCTTCTCGTGGGAGAACGAATCCCCCATAGGTGATCTTCTCTCCGAAGTGAGCGCACACGAACCGTACATTTTTAATCTTCTCTGGTATTGTGTATTAAAATAATACCGTATATTATTTCTAAATTGCTTCTTATTGCAAGGCTGTGCAACGGAGTCTGGAAAAACTTGGTAGTAAAGGCATTATAACTGAGAAGATAAATGGAAAACAAAAAGTCTATGCACCTAAGCAGGTGAGCAGCATCAAAATTTTATTTTTCACAAGTATAATTATAGTAAGGTTATTATATTTAAAATTGGGTGATTTTCTAAGAATTATTGATTTGCTCAATCCTCATTCCAAATTATGGGAAAATGGAAAAGGAATGATTTATTAATAATTTTCAAGGCACACAAATTCAGGCACTTTTGAAAAAAATACTAAAGTTTTTTTTATATATTATTTAGCAGTGAGCATTTCGAAATGATTATTTCTTATTCTGACCAATAGTTTTGTCTTGTATAAATGATTTACAGGACCAGTTTGGAGATTATGATGAAAAAGAAATCAAGAAAATTGATGAGAACATCAACATGTCTACAGAAAAGTTAAAGAGGTTGCAAGAAACTTTGAAAACACAAGAGACAGGTGTTATTGTAGTTGTAGTAGTTTTTCTTTTTCTAAGTACATACTAGTTCAGCAATGCTTTCGAGTGGTATAGCATGGAATATCCCATGAGTCACTGGTATTTTCTTGGTGTGTAGACCAAGAAAATACAAAGAACAAGAGGGACATTCCTTGGTGTACCATGAGCGAGAGGAATGACTATTTTATAACATGCCTTAGAATATTCAGTGGCCAACACAATCAAAGGGACATACGCATAGTGCACAATGGGAAGGTTGAGTGTAATGCCATTGAATGTACTAATACAATGGCTCTCCAGTACAAAATTAATTTTTGAAGATAGAAATTAGAGGAACTCATTAGTGCCAACACTTAACTCCGGTTTCTGCCGCATGAAATGGCTACCAATATTACTACTCTCTCTGGATGGGATGTCAGTTCATCACAAGTTATCCCATTGACATTTTGCCAAGTTTTCTTTAGAGTTTCAGTACCCTATTTGTGCATCTCAAGTCGGTCAAGAGAGGCACCATCAGAGTAAATTGTCTTGCTTTGTAACACAGCATAACACTGACAATGCTCACACTCCTGACTGCTTGACCAGGGGTCCATAGCTATTGCTCAGTGATTAAGCCAATAAACTTCCCTTCCTGAAGTATAGATAACTTATTTGTTTGGTTGTGACCTCACTCTTAGAGCTGCGCAATGTGAACAGTACATTGACAACCAAGGATGCAAAAGCTAGATTAGAAGAACTGACAAAAAAGGTATTCATCAGCCCATGTTTGAGATCAATTTAGCCTGTGATGTTTAATTTGCATCAGAATTTATTGCTCAGGATTGACAAAGATCAGAGAATAACAATGTAAAAAATAAAAGAAGTATTTTTCAAAGGTCTATTTTGATCAATCTTTTAAAATATACTGTTATATATACATCAGGGAGATTGATATGTCTTATGACCAATTGGTCCATAGTTAAATCACCACCTCATTAAGTGCTATTAACAAGGTGGAAAAGTGGGTTGTAAGGATTTATGACTTAAATTGACCCTTTTCATAATTTTATATGTCGCTCAAGTATTTCATCCCTGGCCGGCCACCTCGAGTTGAAACTAACAAGCATGTCCTTTCTTCTACCTTTAGTGTGACAGATACCAGGAACGAATCAAGAACATCAAGTCAGGTAAGTTGAACATTGTCACTGAATTGCTTGTGCCTATAGACCTACAGGTGTAAGGAATACCCACGGAAGTAAGATATATATTGAAAAAAAAAAAAAAACTACTGACAAGATTCTAAGAAATGGTATGGTGTAAGATGAATGTGGACTGTATTGACAAACTTTACAGTCCACACTTTGCAGTTGACATAACCAAATAGAGCAGTTTCATAAATTCAAATTTAAAAAAGATAACAAAATTGTGTATTTCAAATGCAACCTCCTCTATTAATCTTTTCTTTCAGCTACAAATCACGTCACACCAGCACAAAAAGATAAGGTGAGATCATGGAAGTAACCATATTTCCAGTTTTAGTATGAAACATTTGGCTATGGAGCTAGTATTTACTTATTAATACTTGCCATGAGATCGTTAACCTTAAACCTTAATTTACCTTCTTTTGTAATAAAGATCTACAAAGAACACAAACAATTTGTTCAGATGTGGAGAAAAAGAAAACGAATGGTAAGAAAGTTCTTTTCATATAAGAACATCAGTTCAGTTCCTCTCAGGGCATCCTAATGGGTGAATACTCAGGAAGCAATACACCATGGTTGTGTTGTGTTTGGAACTTGCCTTGCTCATCATGGGCAACCCAGTACATGAGGAGGGGTAAATGGGTGCAGAGAGCTATGTAGTTGTGGACCTTGTCTTGCATAGCGGACTTGTGATTCTGCAAAGAAATATTTCTTACCTAGTGTAATAAGCCTGCAGTGTGTTTAGAGGGCACAACACACAGAGAGTTGTCATACACGTGTCTGTTTCCTTTTGTACACAATACATGCTATTCTGCTAACCTAGTCCACGTTAGTCCAATAAATATAAATTTGAGTTTTAAACCACAAAACTTTACAATGTCATTGAAAAGGTTTTGATTTGTAAACTCTGTAAAGACATTGCAATAAATGGTTCCCATGACCCCAATCACATGTAATTAACAGTTGAATTACGATAAATTTAAAAAAAGTGTGGTGATAGTGTGTTTTGATAAAATTTTATTCACTTTGTTTCCTAACAACATTTTCTCTTAGGCCACTGATATTTTAAACGGCATCCTTGAAGGATATCCCAAGCCTAAGAAACAACTTATTGTAAGTCCAAATTTTACTTGATTTTTTGTAGCATGTTGCTAAGTAACTAGTGTTTATCTGTATGGTTCATCTTACAGCTCGGTAAACTAGGAAATGGAATAATAATTTCTTAGAACCCCACAGGGCTTAACTACAGCCCCTTGTTTGATCCACCTTGTTAACATGGCCAGATTCTGCTAACCTACTGGATTGGTGGGTTCCATTGTTGTAACATTGACTTGGCAAGTGATCAAGTGTATTGGAATAATAAATTTTAGAAATAATTCTGATGTGTGCTCCTAACAATCAAAGACATGTCAAAAGTAAAGACTAAATTGTGTGCAGGCAAAAAAACAAAAACAAAAAAACAACAACATTAAATTGAACAGTTTTCATTAGCTGGCATGAAACAATGTTAACTGAACATCTGGTTTACTCAAGTATTCATGATTATCCTTCATACATGAAAGTAAGGTTAGCTCTGCTTTGGGCCATGTCCAGAATGTTACTGCTTACCGTAAATCCTCGAATTAGCGCCCGCTTCAAATAAGTGCCCCCTTTGAATAAGCGTCCCTTCTATCAGCCAAAATTTAAAATAGGTGCCCCCCCTCGAATAAGCACCCCCTTCCCTCCCCCCCATTTTGTGGACGAGTAATGAGACAACAAAGGATGTATAGTTTTCGTCATGTAGTATTAGATTTGTACATTGTTTTAGTTTGTGAACACGTTTAGTGAACACGTTGAACACCTTAAGTACTAATGGTGCTGCGATTTAAACTTGAGAATCAGCTTTTTATGTCAATAAACAGCTTATGTTGGTGTTTGCATGCAGATGATGTATTAAAAAATATTCATGTCAGGCCATTATTTGGGAAAAATTAAATAAGCACCCCCCTCGAATAAGCGCCCCCTGCCTTCTCCTAAATTTGAAATAAGCACCCCGGGTGCTAATTTGAGGATTTACAGTATCCCTGTTTCTATAGCATTAAATGACTGGGAGTATTTCACTTCTTCCCTGGAACCACAGTAGTGTTACCCCTCAGCATTAGATTCACCAGTACTCATTTATAACCTTTGGTGGAGAGAGGCACAGGGTGAAGCATCCTCAAAGACCCAGGCTTAGCTAGTCAGGATGACACAATATTTTTGCCGGGTGACACTATATTTTCAGGCAAAAGTTTACGTCGAGACTATCTGCCCCTGGGTCTCTGAGGATGAGTGCAGCCCCAAACTAATAACAATAGCAATAAATAAGTACAGAGAAAAATTTAGGATTCAGTTTGAAAAACAAAAACTACATTGTGTCTATTTGCTTGCCCTGCAGGAGGATATTGGAATTGAAACAGATGAAGAGTATGGCACAGTCATACCAAACAGTTGAAATGCTTAGTACAGAATATCATGCTTTGTGAATAATCAGTGCAACGAAAAAGTTCTATTATGGCACAGTCACACCACATGTACAGTCTTAATTAATACCTTCTGTGTAACATATATTATGGCAGATTAACACAGTGATGAAGTTCTGTAATTTCATTATGGTCAAACTTGCTTAGGGCTAGGGCCTTTTTCTTTTGCTATAGCCAATAATTTTGGTTCAAATAAAACTAAGAAACAAAGTCTCCCTGATTGAATATTTATTAATATACTGTTACTGTGTAAGTTATATTAATGAAGTTACATCATACGTAAAATAATACATGATTTCATTTCTCTCAAGATTTTTTGTAATTCTTATCTTGCACGTAGGAAACCCATAATTTACACCTACTGGTAAACATTGAAGTTTTNAATGTTCATATAATGGTGTGTCTATTCTGCAATGCTAATGGGAAGTCCTAAGAGAGAAAAATCTGACAAGCAAAATGGCTCAAAAACCTATGACTTCACCCTAAAATGAATTACTAACAATGGCTGTTTTTTAAAAAGAAATTAATGGTTGTGTGGTAACTGTCCCACCCACCCCTCTCTCTGCCCCCCTCCCCACCAATGGCAAAGCCTTGAGTAATTGAGTTGCAACCAACCTGCATTCTTGTTTTTACCACATCGACTGGAGTGTTACCAAAGACACTTGCAGCTCCGGCTATACCGCCAATGATGAATGTTTTTATAGAGCCAATGTCTTTGCTTGGATCTCCTCCTTGAAGGTAACTCTTCAGGTTGGAGTAGACAAAGAAACGGATCATCTGATTGGTTCCCTGCTTAATTACTGTCGCTGTTAATCCCTTGTATACTCCACCTAACCCTGAAAGACGTTGTAAATGCACATGGGTACAGAACTAGTTAGTCAATACCCTTCATGACACTCAAGGTCTAATTCAAGTTGTTATTTTGATCAGTAGAACACAATTTTCTAATTAAGTACTTACAGCTGTCACTGACTAAACAACCACAGACTGTTAATTATGTTTAAATTATGAAACTTCTACACAATTTGCCAAACAAAGTAATACATGTAGTTCAACAATTTTTCAGCTTCTAATTAAATTGATAATGTACTGTCACAGTTTCAGTTTGGGGTTCAGGACCTTTCAAGGTCATGTTACAAAAGAAGACACTATTAAATTTATAAACCTTGCAAGATGGATAATGATCATTTTCAGGACATTTTTGTCCCTAACTACTGATCAACAGTGATGTATGCATGGAAAATTACAAATCCTATGCCAACGGTTTATAGTTTCAAACCAGACATTTCAAAGAAAGAAGTTTTTACAGGATGCTCATATAGGAAGGGTCTACCTTTGAATAATTTGGCAACAAGCTATGTTTTACCTTCTGATTTCACTATTGTTGCAACACCACTGAAGAAACCCTTGAATCTTGGATTTGGCTGCGTTTGATCATGAATGAACTTGACTTTAACAGTTTCCATAGGGCATACAATAACAACTGCCTCCATCACACCAGCACCTAACCCACACATCAGTGTCTGTACTTGTGATAATTTACCCCTGTCATCTGCCATTTGATTTTTTAGATACTCGAATGTTGCAAATCTACAGTATGAAAGAAGCATTGTTGGACAATTAGTAAAAATATATCATGGAAAACCAAGCAAAATGGGTATGCCAAGCTAAAAAAAGAATCCAACAAAAATTCTGGACTTAGAGCAAAACAGAACTTGGTGTGGTCTTTGTTAATAACCCTCACCTTACAGATGCTTTTGGTATTGAACCATACAACAGTGAACTAAGACCTCTGTAGAGACCAAAGAAACCATGGCTTTTCACTGTTTTTACAGCGCAGTCAACAGGACCTTTGTACATGGGTTTAGCTGCTCGTTCATCAAGTTGTACCTGGGTTTTAACATACTCAGTGGGGAATGTACAGCAGATTTCCAGTCCACCGGCTATACCCCCTGTTCACCAAAAAAAATAAATCAAAAAGATTCATTTTTGAGAAGATTTATTTAAATTTTGAAGTTTGTTGGTAAGATGCAGATTATAATCTTCCATCAGATGATTTTAACCATCTTGTTTTTGTTTGTTTCCAAGTATTGAAAATGATTCTACTATCACAATAAAACAATCATTTCAGCATTCCCTTCCATAATTTTTGAATAATGTTTTACGTCATGTCAAAGAAGGAAAAAAGGCAGTCACGCAATTTAATTACGCAATTTTCCCTTTGACACACCCCCAGGACACCCACTCGATTGTGATGCTACGCTACCTAGACTTCACAAGGATTTCATGACAATTTGTAAAACAAGAGGATTCCATGACATTTTGTAAACACGTATCACTTTTCCTGTTGACGAATTAGCCTTGCGATAGCCTTTAACGTAACGAAAGCAAGCTGTTTGCGGTGGATCCACTTTAGTTATCGAGCAACGCTCAAACGCGATCATGTATCATGTATTGTGCGTAAATTGTGATCGCCCATCGAAATACGTGCCACGTAGAATGACCCAGGTATCATTCGTTTCAGTTAAGATTAAACAAAATTTTCGACATTTCTTCGTCAAAATCTATTTATACTTGAGATCAAGACTTGTGAAGTCTGTCATAAAAAGGCAAGCTCTCGTTCTGTAAATCGACGGACGCACGCGAACGAACGACCTTTGTACTTTGGCTGAGTTCACTGACAATTGAGTTCTCACCGCGTCGTTCACGTTGTAAAACATATAAACTATCATACTTAAATGCTGCTCTGTTAAATCTTTATCCCGGTTAATGAACTACCTTATGCCCTTTATTATATTAAAGCTTTATCTTGAAAGCCTATAGGTTAACCCTTGCATTACTGATACCCATACGAATCTCGTAATAACGCTGATTTGCCAATATTTGGACACATACTGGTTAAAATAAACAAATATTCACCTTCACCATTGCATTCTGAAACAATATTTTACAATGACAGATTTGATAAATTACTAGACATCGAGAAGAGTCCCATACCAGCGAGAATCGCTTTTCCTGGATGCCTTTTTCCTTTCCCACCGCCTGACGGTGAAGCACATAAATATCTCCTCCGATAATACGTGGCAGGGTCTGGAGTCGCCGCTAAAGCTCCTCTATAACAACTCTCCAAGGAAGACATTTTAAAATTTGCTATGTCGAAGCGATCGCTCTCTGAATTAGGAAAAAAATTTCCAAAACACAACTTTCACCACGTGAAAGAGATGTGAATTGTGGCCTCGATTAACCTCCGCTGGTCACACTCCAAGTGGCACGATGCTTCTATCATATAGCGGCACCTGATTGGTCAATTGATGCTTTTGTTCAGCTATTTGCATTTTGCGTCTTTATTTCAACGGAAGTTCAATATTTGCTGAAAAGTGAACATCTGATTGGTTCGTTTTACAAGTTAAGTATCGGGCAACAAATATTGCATCAGTAACAACGTCAACAACCACCAAGAACCCTTCCTTTTCTTCATCATTTGACAGAGTGAAAAAATGTCTGCCTAGAAACGGCACTTGAAGATACCATGACGCGCCTTCCCGTGGGACATAACTGGGGGTCAAAGGTTACTACAACGTAAAAAAAAAAAGCTCGTGCTAATCTGATACATTGCACGTTCATGTTTGTTCGTGCGATTTCAGTTGGTATTTGTTATTTTCTCTTTTATTTATAAAATGAAGTCAATTCTAAGCGCGATCATGGCCCGGGGCATTTGTCGGGCATTCGACTGGATGTTGATATCCACGTGGGGTATTTGATCCCAAGGGGATTAGATTCCCAGTTGTCAATCAGTTAGTCATGAATGGAAAAATTTACCGTAAGCAGTAAAAACACAGAATTAAAGGCTGTATTTTTAGCCTTGCAGAGATTCGCTAGCATCGATTTCTAATGATGTTGGAAATTATTTGATTCCTCGTAGTTTATAGGAAAAATTGTAGGCTAAACTCCAGAATACCCGGCCACTTATTAGCATCTCATTGAATAAGAATAGCAACTATTGTTATATACCTCGTTCTTCAAAGCCCACCGACACATGTAAATAAAGTGGCCGGGTATTCTGAAGTTGCTCCAAATTGTAGCTTCATTCACTCATTTCAGATTTGGTTAGAATAAAGACTTCAATAGTACTTCAGATAAAATCGCGATAGTATTGTTGGTGTTGCTCCGCCGTACCCTGCGGTACAACCAGACGTGTCTGTCTTTAGACTGTCTGCGACGCAGGCTATCGCCGGGGTAAGGGGACATTTGCACTCTTGTCTAAGAGCCATCAGGTAATTTAGCTGTGATCAAAATGGCAAATGCCTGGGGATATAAAGGCGAAGGAGCTTGGATTTGATGAAGTCATTACTATATCTACCATTACGTATCGATCAAATAGAGAGATCAACATCCCCAATAGCCCCCCCCGGGGGGGGGGCACTCGCTTATATGGGCTATATAGGTATGTGCGGCCCCAAAGGGTATGGTTTTTCGGCTGTTTTGGTCATAAATAGGGTATCGATTTTAGCTGATTTTGGCCATTTTGGTCATAAATAGGGTATAGTTTTTACACTCTAGCCTTGATATGGGTATGTTTTTAAAAAGAAGCCACTTTTTCGTCATTATCGAAAAGAAAATCAGGGTTTTGGGAAGCGGGCCGCACACCCCCACCCGATTTTTCTGGGCGTACCCCCCGGGCAATAGACTAGGTGTTCTACATGCGCCCCGGGTGACGGGAATTTGACATCATTTGTTGATAGTGGGGTGAGGAATTTGACACTTATGGGAGGGGTAGGGTAGGATTTGAACCAGTCATCACGTTGAGGCGTTGCGGGCGCAGAAGGCATCAAGGGACAACACCGATCTTGTAGTGTTGTATTCGTTGTGGATCAGAAACAATACCTTCAAACGGTTTGTACAGTGTTTTTAAGTAAATGTTAAGTCTTACTTGTAAAACTTTAGTCACTCCTACAGTTAAATAATATGCAAAAGAATTATTCTAGGCATAGTGAAAGCCAAAAGCGCTCGTTCGAGAGTGGTCGATTATTCATCTCTTCCAGTCATTATTTTTGCCATAGCATATCCTTGGGGTTGCCCGGGGAATAGTCGGAAGTTCCGAATCGACTGATACTTTATTTTCATGATTCCCTGGATAGCCAGCACAAGAACCAAGTGACCATACTATAAAACGCTAAACCCGGGTTTCTGGAAAATTAAGCAGCGTGGACTAGTACTGTTGACTCTCTCCTCCGCAGAGGTTTGAACGTTCGTTATACGCCGGTAACCGTGTGCCTGCACTTACATTATTACTCAGCGGATCCTCCCCACCCGAAAAAAAGCCCGTGAGCATCTGCGGAAGAGAGAGAAGTGTTGATAATCTTCCCCGTTGGGTTAGTGGCCTGCCCGTGAGTGGAGAGACACTGAGAGAAAGTGCCTCAGCTAACCTCATACCCAAGCGCTCTTTGGGTTCGCCACCAATTTTCCCTCTCAGTGTTTGCAGGGGAGGAAAGATTGAGGGGGCCTAGAAGGCTAGCCTTACCCTAGTCTGATTCTCAGCGTACGGAGGAGACCTTCTGAGATCAAAGACCAGGGTTGAGCCCAGGCCTATCTAACCCCCTCCCCAACACATACGAAGAAAAGAAGACAATACTACAGGGATTTTATTTGTCAAACTTCGACTCTCTTTAATTTGTATTAAACCTCAGAAAAATTTCAGCGGTACAAATGACCCTCTCCTCATTTTATATACAAGTAGGCTCAATAGATAACGGTGAAGAGGGTCACAGGGTTTTTCGTAGCAAAAATACAAATGATTGGCTTTTATCGACTCTGCCCTTGTTACCGAGTCTTTAATTAGCTCTTATTAACCGAGCAGGAGGTTTGTATGGGAGAATCTTGACCGAGGTC